AACCCCTCTAGGCTGAGAGTAACAGGAGGTCATTCACATGGCTATGAGAAAATGCACAAACTGGGAATGAAGTCTGGGCCCCTTCACTCCACAATGTGAACTTCCACCAGTAGTGTAAAATCAGTGTGACACAGCCCCAGAACAGACTGTCCCTCGGCAGAGGGACAGCACTGCCACCCTGCATCCAGGTGCTGTCTGTGCATCTGGCATCCTTGACAGGAACAGCTCAAGTTCAGGATAAGGAAATGATACATTTAATTTTGCAAGACTAATCACTGATATTCATCCATTAGACCTTCTGACATAGTTTGTCGAATAAGGAGGCTTTAACACCTCTGGATGCTTTCAAATTGTTTTGTACTGCTGGAGCTGTATAAAAGTACTTAGCATGAAAGAGATTTAAGCCAAGAATGTGTAACAGGAAAGGCACAGACCTGTTTGGAAGAGCTACAATACCCATGGAGCAGACAGAAGTCATGTGCTGGCACTCAGCTTGCAGACAGGTGTGCCGGCTGCTCAGTGACATTATCATTCTTCCAGTTGTTCCTTACCACTCCTCTGCCGAGTTTCCACCCCCGCAGCTCTGTTGGCAGAAGGAATTAAGAGAGCACTCCCTCGTGTGCTTCCAACAAGTCAGATGGATTAGTCAACAAAGAGGGTTTAAACCAACCTGCTCACTTTGCCTGAAGCAAATGGAAGTGCTCCTAAACAATTCCTTTTACCAGCTGAGCTATGGCAGCAGTAATGGCAGCATTGGAGGGGAAACACAGAGGTACAAACTGGCAAAATGTTCAAGTGGAGCAGTTACATCTGGTACACACTGTTGTCCAGAGATTTATAAGTAAACACAAGTTACAGATTTTACACACACAAGACCTATCCATATGTGTATTTTATTCTTCAGGAAATACAGAGTTAATGCAATTACATTGAAAATTCTTCCACTGAAGGCTAAATTAAGGCACATTATCTCATATTTGTTGTGTACTAAGAGCATGCAAGGGAACAGGTATCAGACAATGGACGATTAGCTTTCCTTCCTAACCTAAGGTCACAGTGTGTGATTGTGCAAAATTAAGTAATTGACCTGAAAAGATTGTGATTTACTTTTCCAAATATCACTTACAAGGTAATTCCAAGAAGAATTATTGTACAAGCTCAATTTGAGTTCAGTTTATCTCAGAAACAGCTGCCAATTTAGTCCAAACATTGTGATGACACAACCAATGTGAGAGTTTCTACTAATAGGAATTACACTTTTCAAGTCTTCTCCAACTGTAATCTGGAAACAAGGATTGTGAAATAACCAGATATGCCCATGCCAGGTTGGACAACAATGAAATTCCAGCACACGAGTCTTCCCAAGGCACTCAAGGCTCCCTAGGCAGCTGAACACATGCCACCAAAATCTACTTTGGTATGTGTACTTCAGTGACACCTGGGCACACAGCACAGGCAGAACTGCAGACTAAGAATGGCATCAAGGTTTCTGAGTTCTTCCTCGTTAGCTTAGATCATTGCATTCTCTTCCTGGTACTTGTGCTGTGGAGTAGCAGAGTTCAAACTACAAAGTGACAGCTTATACTATTTATTTTCTGCTATGATCTAGTTTTCCACTTCTAGGGTATCAGGAAAAACATGCACTTGCTCCTGCCCTGGTAATAAGGCTCCAATTCCAATTCATTCACTTTCCTGTGTGATCCCCACAGCAGAGAAATGCTTTTGCTTGAGAGACAAGGGTGCCTTCTTTCCTATCAGTCAACTTCCAGCTTCCAAAGTCCCTCATTATACAGGGGTATTTGAACTGAAACTTTCACATGCCCAGGAATATAGATTTCATAACACAAAAATCATGTTAGCGAGCCTTGAAAGTTCTTTAAAAGATTTCAGAAGCTGTCTTGGAAGTGTCAGCCTCATCATGAAGGTGTTTCTTAGGTCACAGCAGGAACTGCAGGACACAAATCATTCCAGTTATAACATACCATTAGTATCAGCGCATTTTTGTTGAAAATACTTATGATTGGTACACATTGGAAAGGCACAGTGTTTCTCATGGCATGATCCATTTCTTCTGTAAGAAATCAGACTTTAAATACTCTCCTCATCTGCAACAAAAGGAGACACTGGATGTGTGTAATGAAGTCACTGGCCATGGTGGGGGGCTTGGAATTATGTGATGCTTGAGGTCCCTTCTGACAAAACCATTTTATGGACAACACACTGGCATCAATCATGCAAGTAAGTATGAGAATTTAATCCTCAGTGTCTTGTACAACAGGTTTTATCATCTAAAAGCAGAATATCCTACGCTTTTGTGTGGGAGCTTGCAGTTTGTTCGCTGAAAACCTAATTCGGCAGTATATACAAACACACATTTAAAAGTTTTGGTAGAGTGAGCTTTAAGTAGTGTTATGAATATGAAATACATTATGAAACAGAAGTGATTACATTCATCCACAAAGGAGTTTTGTAAACCATTCTACCCAGATGTATATACAGCTGGAGTGATGAACAGGATTTATGTGATGCTCACTCCCTTTTCACAGCATTATGACCATTTATTTTTAAATATTGGACAAAACAAAAATAACTAACAAGTAATGCCTTCCTGGATGATGTCCCCTGCACAAAGTACTACCAGTGACTGGCAGTTGCATAGTTATATTTGGATTTTTCTAGATTTGGAGCAAAATGCCACACTGCAATAGTGTATGTAGCACTGAGGTATCAATTATTAATTCTGTTGTCTTGTGTAAGGCACTGGCTTTTCATTTGCAGGAAGCTGAATCAGTTTATGTTTCTTCCCAACTGAACAGCGGAAGATTTCTACATCTTTCTGCAACTGGAGAAAGAAGCAGAAAGAACCAAAGGAGAATCAGAGACACAAGCTAAGGAAGCTCCATGCTGTGTCTGGAGAACTAGATTTCAGACTGAATAAAACTGAATTTTCTGTCTCCAGTACTAGTAAAGCTAACCTCTAAAGATTTCTTACCTACACTGTCCCATCAAAGAGCGTAAAAGCAAAGATATCCTGGCTGTTGTCAAAATTAATGAACTTTGGCAGTAAACACTACTGACTCTCAAGAGACTGTGGGTGAAAAAGGTATGTTAAAAAATTGCCTGCAGATGTACATCAATGGTTATTTTTTAATTATGAGCCTTTAGTAGCATGTGGGTTTGTCAGGGGAACTGAAAAGCTGAAAAAGAAACTACAGTGTTGTTACAAAATAAATGCATTTTTGCTGCAGCATCTCAGGATGCTTTTGGAAATATTTTGTCCTACTACGAACACAATAGAAAACTGCATTTGCAACAAAGCAGTCTGAAAATGCTTCTGCTGTGAAGATTAAGTGGTTTGCAATTTTTTGCAAATTACTCAGCAACAAAAACCATCATGCAAAAGTTAAGATTACCTAGGGAAACCTGTGTCTGTGAAGACACTCTGTGAAATTCGATTAATAAATAGACCAATGCAATTTTGATTTCAGCGTAGCAGAGCCATTATAGAACAATTAAATTAGCAACAATGATTCAGTTATGTTCCCTTTTCTGAGAGCACTGCTCAGTGGTGGAATCCCTCATAGTGAGCTGACAACAAAGGCATGATGAGACCATTTGGGCGGAGCAAACTGAGAAACTTACTGTAAGGTTGGCCCTGCTTTGAACTCCAGAGGCTCCCTCCAATCTAAATCATTTTATGATTCTGTATCGATTTGTTACCACTCGAGATTACCTGTTGCAATCAAGTAACACCTACCTGCACTTCAGAACAGATGCCCTACAGCATCTGGTTATCCTACCATTCCTCCTGTGTGTTAGATAGCTCATTCCTGGATGCCCACAGAATAGGTTTTTAACAGACCAGTCCAGGGTGCACTTAATGTTCCCAGAGATCACAAGCAACCTAGTCTGTAAATGTGAATCCAGCAGGCATTATTCCTGCAAACTCTGCATACACTCACCGCCATCTGGACTAATTTAAACATATTGAGAGAAAGAATCTACACCACAAAATATTTCTTTAAAAACAATATAAAATGGATAAGAAATAAGGCTGAGTTAGCTGACAAATGCCAACAGGTGAGAATCAATTACCACAGCAAAATTATGGATACATCGCAAAACCTAAAACTTTATGAAGTACAGGTCTGTTTTTTGTTGTATAGCAACTGTATCATGGGAGCCCTTCGCTTCAATGGACCCAGACCTGAATCATTACCTCCACCCTGTGCTCCAGCGAGGCACGGCAAATTTAAAAATTCTTTTACTCCCACCATTCAACTACGTCTTTGCTTAGATTTAGATAATTTTTGCTCCTCTTTCAGAAATGTGATACTGCCTTTTACAGTTTCTGTTTCTCCACGACTGACTCTCCTCTCCTCTCCCCCGAGAATTTTAGAAATATTTTCCCAGAATATAAATTAATTTTCTACCAAACATTTCATTTTCCCAAGTAATTATTTGGAAGGAGGAAATCATTCTGGATTATAAAATTTTTATAGTATTCTTGCAAAGTCTTCTCAAAAGCTTAAGGCCAGCTGTCCCAGACCCCTGCCTATTTCCAGGCCAAGACACAGGGGGCTGTGGTTTTTTACTGCTGAATATATGTATGAGCATTACATGACACTGACAACACCATGTCTCTTCAGGTGGAAGACCTCACCATCCTCCCTCTCGAAGATATTTGGTGATCTATAGTACTGGATCTGACTCAATGTTCTTTACAGCGGCAGGGTGGGTTGTCATTGCTGAACAGCATCGGCACCGAGGCGTTTTCTGTTTCTTACTCTGTTGCCCCAGTGAACACTGGGGGTGCCAAATGGAGGGGCAGGTGACACCACTAAACCAAGGACAGCTGTGTGGCATCGTGCTCCCGGGCAGAGAGGGAAATTAACCATCATTTTCCTGGGAACTGGCATACCCCTGGGGAGTGGACAGTGACTGCCTGAGCACTTGTTCTGGTTTCCTTCTCTCTCATTTTTTCACATACTGAGCTGTACCTTGACCTACGAGTTTCCTTGCTTTTCCTTTTCTGTTTCCCCCCACACTGGGTGTGGGGGAGAAGTGAGCAAGTGTACAGGTCGCCCGGAGAGATCGTGGAGTCTCCCGGTTATCCAGGAACCGTCTGGAAGCAATCCTGAGCCGTGTGCTCTAGGCTGACCCCGCTTGCATTTTGGCCCAGACTGCGGTGCCTCCCAGCTTTTCCCATTCCATGGTTCCACGGTGCACCTGCCCTCAGCGCTCCCGCCCCGCGGCGTTACCGCGCGCGCCGCGCCT